TTTCAATTGGCTTACGTGCTGCGACGTGCGCAGTCTCGCAATTATCCTCGGCCCTCGGAGGCTAATTGCGAGGTGGAAATTGGCGCGTTCCTCGACCTCCAAATCGCGTAGGAAGCGGTGCGCGCAATTGTAATGGCCGCGACTTTGGGAATGGGAGGCGGAAAAGTGGCCTTGCTCGCGCTCCCTTGAGTGCGCTCGAGCGAGTAGCGAAAGCGCGAAGGACGAAATTATTAGCCGAAGATCTGCCGTATCATCGTTCTCCTTCCTTAGGGCCTCGCGACCCTTGCCTCCCCTTATTATTTTCCCTCCTGTCGCTCGCCACTCCATCTTTTATTAATTAATCAGCAATCGGCGAACGCCGTCGGCTCATGCTGTACGATTTAACGTTTTTAACGGACGCGCTTCGGTTAAACGACGATTTTTGTTGGAGCATAAAATTCCAATTCGACCAACCAATAAGTAAATAAATCTCCCCCGCATAAGAATTAACTGTTAACTGTTACGTAAAAAAGTAAAAGAAAAAAGACTAAAAAGAGGAATAATAAGATAGATAGATAGATAGATAGATAGATAGATAGATAGATAGAGAGAGAGAGAGAGAGAGAGAGAGATAGAGAGAGAGAGAGAGAGAGAGAGAGAGAGAGAGAATTACGTAATTTTGGGCTTAACATGTATTGGCCATTCGTCACCGCAGCTACAAGTTTACGACCTAAAGTGCAATCTTATTATTAAAAAGGGATAATAAAATTAAAGAAAACAATTTCAACTCATTAACTGCGGTGACGCTCGCTCGGGTGTCATTATTCTCGTGGCGTTAGTAAGAAATTCTACATTTAACACTATAAGCGTGCAGTAAAATTGTAAATCTTATGTCGCGGAAGGAATAAATTCATTATTATAGGCATCACGTATTGAGATATAAATAAATGTAATAGAATTTTAATTTTGTTAGCTCGAACTTCCTTAGGAATGATAAACTTTATACGCAAGCACACCGAGTTTCGTCCTCATTGCCCTTAACGCTCAAAATTGCTCATGTATTTCGGCGCAAGACCGCTCAACACATTGCGAAACAATTTTATCGACGAGTAGCAGTTATTTCGTAACAATCTAGAGAAATAATTAAGTAAACAAAAAAAAAAAAAAAATAAAAAAAAACCAAAAAAAAAAAAATAAACTCGTTAGTCGGTGCACGTCATTATGAAAAATTTAAAATATCGTATACTTTTCTGTAAAACGTTCCTTGCACTTTTACCTTTCTTATTCATTTCTGAAATATTATGGACCAAGTTAAAATATACTGTTAAAATGTTTTGAAAAACGGTTTAAAATTAGTTTGGAATATTCCATATATTCCTCCCACCCATCAACATTCTCGTTGCCTCGATGCTTTTCAAAAGATTGCATTTTTATAAAAATATTATTTTATTAAAAATTTTCAATTACCTTTTCTTTTTTTCTTTTACACATCGTATTTTGCCTGATAACAGCGTATGGAAATAATTGAAGACGACTGATCAATAATTACTCGATAGCAAATTTTGTAAAACATCGGCTCTTCACGACTTTTCACGTAATAATTGAAAACAATTGGAGAGTCTCTTGGAAAAATCGTAGCTATATCAAAGCCCGAAAAATCTTGTATTTCCAGCTATTTACGATTCTGTGTCTCTAACTAATAATCTAATTGTAAATAAAATTTATCTTGGTATAAATTTTACTCGATTTATTATACATATTTAACCGCTATTTTGGCTTTCAACTCGTCAATCGTTACGATTGTCTCCAATTACCTCCGTATATAACAATTTCTCGAGCCAATTAGAATTTCATCTTTAACTGAAAAGTCGAAAGAATAAACTGTTTACGTGAAGTATATACCGCATATATACAATATCTTTACTTTACGTATATTTCAAGTATTTTACAAAATAATAATTCGCATTCGTTAATTAGCCGTGTCTCAAGCGATAATTAGGGATATTAATATTCTTGATATATGAATCGTGCGTTCCCTTTCACTATTATCAGAATATTTTTTACAAGTGACTTTGGTATATTGGGAGCTTTAAAGTAATTCGTCCAGTCATAAGATAACTTTATGTAATATTAAAAAAATATACTCGTTTCATAAAATAACAAATTATCTAAGTCGTTAAAACAAAAAAAAAAAAAAAAAAAAAAAAAAAAAAAACAAAAAAAAACACGATCGAATAATAATAATAATAATAATAATAATAATAATAATAATAATAATAATAATAATAATAATAATAATAATAATAATAATAATAATAATAATAATAATAATAATAATAACAACAACAACAATAATAAACCATATAAAGAAGTTTTGATATTTTTTTTTTTTTTTTTGTCGAGATCGATCTAATCCGAACGAACAATAGGTACTTTATAAAAACTGGCAATCATTGTGTTGGTGGATTATTGCGAATGCGTAAATGAATGTGAGCAATAAAGTGGCATGTAAAACAACTGGAAAAATAACAAATGAAAAACGATTCCCTTGTAAGTAAGCTAACGCACTTGTCAAATAAAAAAAAAGTAGGGTGCATTTACACTCTGCGCACACGCGAACGTACTAATAACTAAATCCAATATAGCGATAATAATAGGCCAAGGATTGCTCCATATTATGCCAAGGTCCTTCATTAATAATAACACGTAATTCTTGATTATTAGTAGCATATACGTGTTCACACGTGAACGCATGATCCCGCTTACGGGAATTATTTCAGTCAATATCTAATATTTATGGAGGCACGAGCGAGTCCATCAAGCTACTCGTAATTGATTCATTAAATAAGACTTTATAAACGAAGACACTTTTCTGGCGTATATTTTTTTTCTCTTTTTCTTCTTGTTTTTCTTCTTTATCGTACATTAAGCCGAAGTCGAACCGAAACTCATAATAACAGCAACGTCGTCATAACAAGCGCCACTCCCTCCGCACTCCGTACTTTTCGATACGGTTATTCGCTAATAACAATCATTCGCTAGTAACGAGCTAATCCTATAGTTAATTAACGATCCAATGGTAAGATTCAATGTACGTGATGGGACGATGTGTCTCGCTTCAGCCCATCCATACATCAATTGGCCAATGCTGCCCAATGAGATAAGACCGTCTCGCTAAATTATCTACGTACACGAGCTTGTTTGTAATAGAGGATCGGCCAATCGGAGAAATGCAAACTTCGTTATTCGCCTCGCCGCCTCTCACGAAATAATAAAGAAGACGGCGCTAAGGGATTACGTGGGAGGCCGTCGGACGTTCGTCGTTGGTATTCCGTCGGCCGTCGAAGAGACGCGCACGTGTCAATGGAACACGGACGGTCAAAGGATCGCTGTGTAAGCTGGGGAGGGAGTCGGGGCCTCGAGTTTCGTGTCTCGATGAAATTGCCTCGTCGACGGCTACGATCTCCCTCAATTTCACCGATTCCATCTTCGGATGCCCTCGAGACTCCCTTACGACGATTCTCCCTCGCCTCTTAAGAGGCCTTCCACCATACCACATCACCTACACGATCACTCGTCCCACTAGCACTTATCACGATCGCTGGCTCTCAAACGACTTGTTATTTCTGCCCCGTAGAGTCGACCTGGATACGCTGCGCTTCGCCCTGGACATTCTGCTACCGCATCTCTATATCGAAGGCCTGTACGAGATCGACGGGCGGGTGCTGCTGCTGCCGATCAGAGGTAACGGTCCCATGACCGGCAACATGACCGACGCCACGGGTTCCGTCAAGATCCAGGCGGACTTTTTCAAGGACGAGCTCGGTGAGAGCCACCTCATTCTCAGCGAGTTTCGCATGCGAATCAACATCCGCAAGGGCTCGCTTAATCTCGAGAACCTCTTTGGCGGCGATCCCACCCTCGGCACCGTCGTCAACAACGCCATCAACAGCAACTTCGACTCGTTCATCAAGGAGCTCCAGCCTCTCATCGAGAAGGCGCTCTCTACCGCCTTCCAGGACTTTGGCAACAACATCGTCCGACCCTTCACCTACGATCAGCTCTTCCCCGAGAAATAGGATAATCGTCGATGACTCTGCGCCAATCTCCTTCTCGTGCCTCCCCAACTTTCGTCCAATCACTCTCGGCATTTGTTACGATGGTCCTTCGAAGCGCCCCTTGGAAATCTCTCGTGTCGCTTTTCTTTCAATCGTCGTAACACTGTGCGAGCGCAAAAACTAAAAAGCAAAAAGCAAAAAGCAAAAAGCAAAAAGCAAAAAGCAAAAAGTAAAAAGCAAAAAGAAAAAAAAATATACAAAAAAGAAAAGGAAACGAGAAAATGAACGAACGATCGACGAAAGCGACGTTTCGCCCATCGCACAGTCTTGATTTGATCGTTTCGTCGGACCTCCTTCGCCGACTTTCTCTAATGCTACCTCTCTTCCTCCTTCCACCCCCCCGCCCCTCCAAATCCACTTCCTTACCATTTGCCGGGATTCGGCAACAGCTCGACGTTGGAACTTCTCGGCTCGTTGCACGTGCTTTGGCGCCTGCGAAGGGCTTCCCGTCCGGATTTTCAGCGTCACGCTGCGTAATTTAGAGAACTTTTGAAATTGCCGAGACATCGCCGTCAGCTCCCATCTCCTCTCGCTCATCATCCCCTAGCACTCGTTTACCTTTAGTCGTCCCGATTACAAGCCATTCGGAGCAAATTTCCTCGATCGCGCGTACATCGTACGAGATCACCGTATCCTTACATGTACGTCCAATACTCAATACGCGATTTTCCACACACGCGCACTCACACGCGTATCTCGAATGAGCTACTGAAATATAGTCGCGGGAATATTAATGCTAACGACGACCTGAATCGCTAAGTGATAATCCTAAGGTTTACGTAAGGTTATTTATGACTCTTTATTTAAATTCATATTGTAAATCTATTTAAATCGATCATGCGCGTTTAATCGGCAGTAGATAATGCTTCAAGAGCAGCTCAATTATTAAAACGTTTTTTGTTTTAAATATCGCTGCAGGAGCTTAGCATACGATTAGCGTTTAAGCAGGTGTGTCATTCACTTCCTTTAAACCTCGTGTGATGTAAATCGGCTTACCAGCGTTTTAGTGATTTTTAATAAATTGATATGAAAACCTATTTGTCTTACATTATTCAAACCAGTCATCTTTCGACAAATAAACATCAATGTCAAATCAAATTCTGCGCTTTTTTAAAAATACCCTTTATGGATTGTCGGCCGATTGTTTTCCGATTGCGGTGCATAATTGAACAAGTTCGATCGAGGTGCACACGACTATTCATCAATGCATAATTCTATCATTAATTATTAGGCGAATTAGACTAATACGAAAGATTATCGCAATATTGACTAATTGCGAATATTAAAAACACTTGATTTATTGTGTGCGCGCTTGCGTGCGTGAGTAAGTGCGTGAGCGTGTGCGTGTGTAAAGGTGGTTGGAACGCTCTTAACTTTGTCACATGGGCATTTACACAAACGATATCGAAAGATATATTAATTCATGTTGGGATACGTAGAGATAGTTAAGATTTTTTATCAAAATCATAATTGAATGGCATGCTATTACGTGTTTTTGTTTCATCGTTGAAAATTATGTTTGTTTATTTGCAGCGAAAAAAAGGTAATTGCGGAGCAACTACGTCTGAATTCGTACAGCCGATTGATGAAAAATTCCGAATCTAGATAGACACGCGAGCAGTCGATTCGTTTCATCATTAACGAATAATATCCATAATCTCTTGCATTATTATTATTATTATTATTATTATTATTATTATTATTATTATTATTATTAATATTATTATTATTATTATTTGATGTGATTGTATATAAGTATGCCTGCAAAGATTGCACATTGTTCGGCAATTTTGAGGCAATTTCGAGCGGCAAATGACAAATGAAAATTAAATGTATACAAGCATACTAATGTTTCATAATAGTCTCATAAAATCCAAAGTTTTGGAAATAATGTTACATTACTTTACAAATGATTGCCTAAGCGCAGAATGATGAGAGAATGAGCGTGATATGTCAATGAAATATATTATATAAAAATATCGTTAGCAGGGCAGGAAGATGGCCAATATATTGGAGTTAAATATTTATTTATTAAAGTGAAAGCGAATATCAGGTAATTGATAAATTCAATTTATAGATTCTGTATATTAAATTTACGGATACGATTTTGCTGACAATTTAAACGAAGGTCAGGGCGCAGGATAAGCCTGACGAATAATTTTTTAATTATACGTTAAGAGCCGTCGTATTGGTATCATTTTCAAATCGTACATTTTTGAAAATTCCAAATTATTATTTCACGAGGAATTCTTATTATAGATACATTGCGAATTATCATAAGAAATTATTCATAAAAATTTCGTTTACTTAATAAAAAACGATAACGATTATCTCTTTCTACCATTTATCGGGTAATGGCTACCAGTAAGTTACAAACGAGTATGTCTTATTTTATCTTCCCAAATTATGAATTTAATAAAATTGTGTTGAAAGTCCATACGTAATGTAGAGATTCTTTAATGTAAAAAAAAAAAAAGAAAAGAAGAAGAAAAAAAACAACCAAAAAGTAAAAGGAAAAAGAAAATGGAATTAAACGTAGCACTTTAGATGTACAAATATCGAAGGCTTCGTAGCCAATTGCGTATTGAGGTTTCATGAGGTAAAGGAGAAGATACAGGTAAAGTCCGTAATAATTTTAATTTCAACCAAATATTTACTTAAAAGTGTCTTAATTACAGACGATGAAAAATCCAGCCAATCCAGATAACTATCACCACTTTTGTCTTTCTTCATAAAACTCATATATTAAAATAAAAAAGTAATCGCTAAACAACATTATAAACAATATTACAAATTAATCGGCACGTAGATCTTTATTACTCTATTCGTTGCTCTTTAGAGTAGCTTTAAATCTTCGCTGGTGATGGATTGATGGGTTGATGGACGATGTAAACAAGAGCCATAGTAGCATGAAGAGAAGGAGTTTCGAAGAGGGACAACTGCTGTTGTTGTTGTTGTTGTTGTTGTTGTTGTTGTTGGTATTCCAGGGGTCGCGGAAGTCGACCTGCTGCGCTTCATTGGGTGCTCGGCTGTGACACGCGCGACTCGCATCTCCGCATCGGAGCATCGGAAAGCAATTTAGGAAAATGTAGTCGGGATGCAAGTCGGGAAAAGCGCTTTTCCTCCTCGTGACTCGCAGTGACGTGATTGGATTTTGCGAATTCGCGCGACATGGCGATATTCCGATGGCAGTGACTTTTACGATGCCCGATTGATTTGATATTTACAAAAATTAGATCTCGTCATTTAATATTCGGTCGCAAAACTCCAAGCTTAAATTACTTGTCATTTGAAGTAGAAGAAGAAAAATTCGAGGATCCATAAATTGAGGACTACCGGCGGTAAAAGCCATTATCATTGCATGGAATATGGTAATTTTTCAGGTTATAATATCGATTATTTGTCTCTCTCTCTCTCTCTCTCTCTCACACACACACACACACACACACACACTATCACGCGCACAGTCTCTTGCACTCTACACAATTTGTGCAGCAAAGACTTTAGGCATCATCATGGTGGCGAAGAGGGGGGGGGGTTGAGAGAACGAAGAGGAAGTCAAGGCCGATCGGGAAAGAGCTCGTCATAAGTA